AAAAAGGGTACTGAGCCTAATATTCTCTATTTAAAATACATTATTTTCTCAATAATATCCATCAAATATACCCTAAAAATGACCTTGGAAAATGACCTTTACTATGATAGTTACGAATTAGTCTCCATGGTTTCCGTCTATGAAACAATAATATATTAGAAAACTGATTTAATTTAGGAAAATTGGCGGCTGGGTCCCCAAACATAAATGTTAGTAGCACTTGAGTCCCCAATCTTTGTTTTTTTGCCGCCTGAATCCTCAGGTTCGTAAAATTGGTGCACTTGGGTTCTGGATAGACGATTACCTTCTCTTCCACCATCAAAGTAGGGAAAGGGAGAAAAAATAGGAGAGAATTTTTAAATCAACCTAAAAAAGGAAGGGATTGAGAAAACAGTGGAATCATTGCAGATTCTGGCAACTAATTGCTTCTTCTACATTGCTACAGCACCAAAAATGAAAACCAGAAAAAATAAATTTATTTCTAGTACAAACTCAAAACTTTGTTGTGTCTTATGATATGTTTGCTTGAACTAAATATATATTACAGGCTATTTCATGGAATTATAATTCAATCCAAAAACTCAAAATAGTAGAGCTTTACCCTAATCTATTGCCTATATAAACTCCTCTACCATATCCCCAAAATGAAATTTCCCATTGCAGCATTCCACTGCATTTACAACTTCTTGAAATGCAGTCACACTGCATGGTACGACCAAGCCATTTCTTTGCTCAAAGCCAAATTCATTGTAGGCCTTTTCTAACAACATCTTGAACAAAGGGTGAGACAAGTAACTGGTTGGCACCATGAATCGCTCTCTCTCCTCCCCTACGTATACTGCAAAAGTTCCGGGTGGTGTCTTGGTGGATGACGGGGATCCTCCGGCTTTGTAATTATCTCTTAGCAAACACTCGTTTTGTGATGGATCACGACCCTCGTTGCCAACAACCTTAATCTTCTTGGCCAGTTTCTTCATCGAACCGATCTTTTTCCCGAGCATTTTGTTGAATTCGAGAGGGAGAGAAGGGTTGAGGAAGAAGAAGAAGAAAGAAATGGAGAGGATTAGAAGCTAATGAGAGAGTGGTTTGAGTGTTGCATTCAAGGAAATGGTGGGTGGAGGGGTCTTGTAGTGTGTTAGGAGGGAAATGTTGCAAGAGGGTCAGCTTTTGACTTCTAAAATAGTTGAGAGCCTGTGATTTTGGTGGTTTATTGGTCTCAACTCTCAAGACATTGCCTTTATTTACTTTGACTTATCAATAGTAAAGTGCAATTGTACGACTAATTAATTGATATGCTAACGTTGAGAAAGGCTTATTATTGGATAGTACCACTTGGATGGTACAACTTTTTTCTTTAAATTTATAATGGCCATACACAAGTTGATAAGTGGCAAACCCCAATCAATTTTCATTTCCATGTCACACAATTGCATCACAAAGAGATCAAGAAAGGCGTGAGAGACGCTAGATTGTGAAAAGGAAATTTCATTGATTGGTAAAACTTCTTGCACCACTCAAGATTATTTTAAAGTAGTAGAGAGGGAATAAAAATGCCACCAATTTGCAAAGATTGCAAGCCATAGAGCATGGTGAGATTTCACTTTAAGCTAATTTTTAATGAATGCTGATCAAATAATTGATACGTGAGATCATACAAAAATATCTCATGAATTTCGTTGTCTATCATGTCCAATATAAGTGTGTTTTAAAAGGGTTCGAAATTAAAACCAATGTTCAAAACGCCAAAATATTTGGACGGGCTTGGTTTTAATACACGTGCGCACACAAAACCCTTTTCACGTGTAACTAACCATTAAAATTCTAGTCTTCAATTGAATAAAACAAAAAATATGGTTAGTTCTACCCGTTCAATAATTGAATCAAAACCCCATTTTTTTTATATTACTCATCTTCGTTACAGACCGAAAGGGATATAAAAGAGTCTTTGAGTCAGTTGGTAGGGTATCTGCTTTTGGTTTTATTTCTAAAGAGCTACCTTAGATGACTTTCTTCTAAAAGTTCATATAATTCCATAAAGTATTTTTAGAAAATTATTTAAATATGTTCAAAAGTACTTTCTTAATCTTAAAAGTAACATTTAACTTTTCAAAAACTCTACTAGACGGACTTCTCAACTTCTCAAACCAAAGATAATCTGTAACTCCCACCTCTACAAGTTGAGAGAAGAGAGAGAGAGAAAAAAAAAAGTGTTTGGTGGATGTCATGATTGAAGTAGGAAGTTTTAAAGTATTCCACAAGTCAAACTACCAAATTTTTTTAATTATTATTTAATATTGGGATTTTACAAGATTGAAAGAAGAATAGGATTGGAGATAGTAAGCAAAGACGGCATGTTTTGTACTTTTAGAGGATTTGCATATGGCAGGGGTTGACATATTAAAATTCCATTCACAATAATATTGGAATTTTGAGTGGGTTTGGTCCAAACGGCAACGACAGTTCTCCACAGCACTAGTTGATTTGAGGAGGCATAAATATTTTTTAAGCCTATGCTTGAATTAAGCACTTTCTATAGTGAATTGAAGGACTTTAATTTGTAGAATGAAAACTACTATCTATACTCGTTTGCGAGTTGCCTTACGTTGAGCATGTTGAATATTTGTTCAGTGAAAAACAAAAATTTTCTTTAAAATATCAAATCTTTGGTAGATTAAGTGGAATATCTCGCCGAGGTGCCTATACATCGAGCAAACCTCGCTTCCTATGTGATCATTGATTGTCATCAAAAGGAGCTCGCTTAGGTGCCTAAACATCGAGCAAACTTCGTCTCTAAGTGACCATTCTCTAGTTTTCGCAATGAGAGAACAATCGTGTGCAGGAGAGACGAGCAGAAGACTTACATCTACCGCACTTCATTTTTATGTTTTAACTTTCAACCTTTTAAATTGGTGAATAGAATCACCAAAGACGTGGACCACTCTCCCAATGTTACCTAGGTGGAACTACTCAGCACCGATCATATTTAGAATCCTGAATCATTCGTGCATCTTTTCCTTGCAACAAAATGCTTTTATTGCTCTCCAATAACTCCGTTTTCATGGTTTATGCTGCTCCCAACATCTCAATTCAGAAGTCTTTTTGACAGATTGAACCAAAGCCTATCATATCGTTACCTTGCATCCAATTCCAAATTGAAATTGGAGATAATTAATCCAGATCTTCACATTATGAAGTTCAATTGGTATTTGCATAGCCATCTACCGTAGAAACCATTGCTTGGAATGAAGGCTCCAAATGAAGATAAAAAAAGAGACTTGGGGTTCCTCATGGTGAGATGGCACAGTTGACTACAAATTTCAAATTTTTCAATAAAGTTCATAGATAGATTCAAAATCGAGGGGAAAAGATCCATACAGTATACTTCCACAAGATCAAAATTTATGTGCTAGCAGGGTTAATCTTCGCTATATTAGCTAAGAAGTTCTACATGTCATACCTAGCATCCCTCCAAGGAGACATACTCACAGTACACAGATTTATCTCTTAATGTACACAATCATTAACGTAAGCAAAACCAAAATGCGGAGAATAAACTCCCGGGCAGAAACAATAATCAGATCAGATCTTTAAAGAAATATGATAGCATAAGCCTTCAAGTCGAAGTAATAAGACATGTCTACAGGTTCTTGCACTATCTTTAAAAGTAAGTAGACAACAGTAATCTACACCAAGACGGTAAAAAACAGCTACATTTTCCAAAACAATTACTGCTGACCGTCAACCATATAACTGTAACAAGAAAATTTAGACCTACATAAAAGTCATAACTATTTGCTATATGATATTTACCTGTTTGTGTCCCTTTTAAAGAAAGATTGATAGATCTTCTGGGGCATCAATCCAAATGCTCTCATAAGGATCTTTTTCTGCCCAATCATCCATTGAGATCCATCCTTGCTTGGGATGACAAGATACTTGCAAACAGTGTCGAGCCTTCTAAAGTTTCCATATCTGTCCATACTTTATTTGTTTGGTCTAACTTGTATACCACTGGGTTTAAATCAGAACAAGTGTATATAACGAAAATTTCCCCGTTATGCTCAGCGATAAATCTTCCTTTCCACCAATTGTTGACACAAAAAGCATTAGGACATCTGGCTGGAGGAGCAGAATGAACATCCCAAGAACTTTCATTAGGGTTATAAACCCCCAACAAACCTGAAATACTCGAACAATAAAAAAGACCATTGCAGAAAAGCAGGCTGCTGACCAATGGCAAAAGGTTTTGGTAATTAACAGTAGTCCATTCAATTGCTCCAGGATGACAAGTGCTCATGGTAATATGAGTTGCGCTCACATGCTTTACTGTGAAGAGAATAGAGCTAGGAGATGTTGGAGAGGCAGAAAAAGCAACAATTTGGAATCCCAATTCTTTTTTAGGTAATTTGATCTTTTCTTGTGTATGAGGACAATAAAAGAACACGTGCTGAGTTCTGGGCTTATACAGCAGCAACCAGCCATCCTTAGTGTAACAAAGCCTAGAGCCATGTAGCTATGGTAATTCAAGCCAATAAGTTTTGCGCTGACAAGGGTCGTAGAATTCATACAAGTCACCAGATTTTGGGAAAAACATAAGCCAGGGAGGTTTATTGACCTTTCTAACAGCATTCGCAACAGTGTGCCATCATCTACAAATAGCGGAAGCACGGATATTATCTCTAAAGGTTAACTGAGAGATTATCAGTTCCAAAATCTCTGTTGGAAGCTCAGAAAGCTCATTTGGCTGTCCAGTTGAAGCTCTTGTACCTTCTTTGATCGTTTCAGCTAATCTAAATTCACAATATTGAGGTAAAATCCAGCTAAATGAAAGAAAAAAATGGAGGCATTGACAATATAAATCAAACAAAATCGCCAATTATATTGACCTCGAGCAATGGATATGTTTTCGAAAAATTGAATTCCCAGTAGACAATCACAGGTAAAAGCAGCATTGGAATCATCCACAAAACATACAAGTTTGCACTTGGGTTATATAGAATTTGAAGGAATAATTTCCGTCAAGTATCCATATTGATAATATACAGACAACACGGCATTGACAATTTAAATCAAACAAAATCGCCAATTACATTGAACTCAAGCAATGGATATGTTTAGGACAAATAGAATTCCTCGTAAAGACGATCACAGGTAAAAGTAGAATTGGAATCATCCACGAAAAATACAAGTTTGCACTTGGGTTATATAGAATTTGAAGGAATAATTTCCATCAAGTATTATACTAATTATATACATACAACACCAACCAAATTGGAATGCCAAATTATATATGTTTACAAGAAGACCACAAGCCAGAACTGAATCTCTTTTAAATGGTTAATAGTTACAAGTCACAATACTTCAAACCAATATTTAATAAAAAATCTTGCTTAGGGATGGCCAAAATATTTGTTCAATCCGATACATGCTGGCCTGCCCCGAATGGAGCGGGGATTATCCGCTTAACCGGATAAACGGGGCGGATATGGGGCTAGAGTCATTGCCCTGAAGAGGGTACAAGAATCATAGTCCCCGCCCACTATTTGTCTCGTTTAAAGTTAATTTCAAATTTAAATTTTTTATCACACAAAAATAAAAGATTTATCATGATTTTAAAGAGAATGTGAATTGTTCTCAACAAATTGGAAAGAAAAAAAGTAATGTTTACTAACTAAAGGCATAAAAAAATATATATAAACGGTGCAATAAATGGGGCAAGTCTGTCCCGATCTCGCCTTGAACTCACTCCGTCCCAATCTCGCCCCATCCCGCTTTAACCGGGTATAGGGATGAGGGAAGGTGACAAAAATACCCGACAGAACGGAAGTGGAAATGGCCGACCAATCTCATACCCGCACTGTTGACATCCCCAATCTTGCTTCCAAATTTTTTTTAATTAAAAAATCCTTGAATTCTAGCAAGTTCCTTAAATACTAAAATGAAAATTCCAGGGAGATCCATGTCAGTGTGCAGCGAACATGAAGATTCATCTTTGACAACATGGGGACGTAAACTATTGTTACAACTTAAAGCAAAGTTCATCTGAACATACATAGTTTGGACAAAAGAGTAATTGTGCGTCTAAATTACGGCTTAGCATTTGTACAATTCTGAAGTCAATAACTTAATCTCGTACTATACATTCTGGAACATGAAAGGATTTTGAAATGTCATGTTGTTTTGGTTCACAAATGGCACAAAACCTCGTCAAGCACGGCCATGTCATAAGAAATTCATTATAATAGGACTCCCATTCTCTATAGATTTAGCTGAGGATCTGAGGTCCAAATTGATGGGAAAATATTCCTCAAAACTTGCCAAGCTAAAGAAGGCATCAATTGTAAGGGAAAAATAATTAAGGGACCAATGTGATCAAACTTTCCTTTCATTCACACTGTCTGTCCAAATTGAATTTGATATAGAAGATGCCAAAAGATCTTCCCTTTTAACATTTTAACTAATTCATCTTTCTTTTCTCCAGTTTTTACGGAAAATTAACACCACATGAAAATTCAGACAGAAACTACTGAATTGAATTATTTGAGAAAATTTGAAAAACTTACAACTTAAATTTCTTTCGTCTGTTTCCAGCCTTATTAACCCAGAATCAATTTTAGGGAAATAACTCCATCTTCTACTCTGCGTTGGTGTGTGTACCGGAAGCGGTGTAGATTTTTAAGGTTTGACGAATCCTATGCAAAAGGGATCTTTTTCTTCTCAAAAAAGGCACCTACAAGTAATTGACGTGCGGTTGACAGATGTGCTCTGTACTTTCTTTTTTCTTTTAAAATAAATTATAGAAATGACCCATGAAATGATTGGAAATGTAGATCGGATCTCTTCTATAAGGTTTTGCTGAGCCGAGTACTGCAGCTGCTTAATAGTTCACGTCATAGAAAGTTATAACTTGTAACAAAATTTCTTTCGAGGAATAACTGACAATCAACATCTGTCACTTCATTTCATGGAAAAAATCTATGTCTTTTGACCCTGTTTGTTCAGCTTTATTTTTGTACAATTGTACTTATAGACGGTTTAATAGGTATGGCTGATGTGGCTATTAATGCTGGCGTCGCGGCGAAGATCTTCATTTACCAAAGATTTTTCAATGATTTGATCAAGCCTTTATCATGTTGATTGTCCGTCATATCCTTGAAACTACATCCTGCACGTCTCAATCGACCGAGGTCATTATCGCCATTTCTAAGTCACGAACTCTGATTATTATGGGAACTAAATCAACAGATCGCATTGGCATCAAGTGTTAATATTTATATTTTTGTTATTTTGTACATATTAGGTTGGTCAGATAATTAAACTGTATTCATTATAGAAAAAAATGTAAAATAAATTTCATTTTTAACCATTAAAGTATTATTAAAGATTCCTAGAAAGCTTTTGGTACTCGAGGAAATATTTAGTGGTACGACAAATGACAAAATTGTGCAATTGTCACATTTATTTTTAGAAACATGTTTTGCAGCACTATTCAATAAATTCAATGTTAATTAGCGAACTCAAAAAGAACTAAACAATTATGTTAACGGATGGTACCGCTAAGTGTGAGTATAGATAAACGCAATATATTCGTGAGAATAACGAAGTGTTTAGCTCCCTTGAATTAATTGATAACACTAAGAGTGAGTGTTTATGGAAAAGAGAAGTGAATGAAGGTCATCTGAATGCTTGACACGTGATCTCATTCTGACGATTTACTCCTCAAGTTTCATCATACCACGATGTTGCATCTTAGGCATCAAAAGTTGATAGCTCCACGATCTCGCACGTTGTCCTAGGTAGGTAAAAGAATGTTTTTGGCTCTCAGCCATCACAATAGGTAAAGTTACATGAATCAATTCTCACGTGGCTGCATAAGCTAGAATCTTCGTTTACATAAGCTAGATTTCTCTTTATTTTTGTGGTTGACCACAAAACGAGGAATATAGTGTTAAAAAATGCAGCCCATTGTAAAGGGGTGGAATTTGTTAGGTATAATTCTAGAAGACTAATAATCATAATCGAAACTTTGGTGCTGTTCTAGAAGGCGGCTAAGCACAAATCATGATGAACCAAAGAGACCAAACATAAATATACAGGAACTGGACGCGAAGAGTTCAAAATATGAAGAAATGGGATTGAAGTCTATTTATTCAATCGGTGTAATTTCGTATATTAGATAATTTGTTTAAAATAAAATCGAACAATTAGATTTCAAGATTGATGTTTATAAATAAGTCACGATCTTGAGTGCACCTTTGAAGGGTAAAATCTCATACTGTAATTTTTATTAAGCAATTCTTGACACAATTTAGCTTCCGTTAGACAATCATTATTTGGGAAAAATAGAGTCTTGAATAGTAATTTTTAAGAGAATGTGGGGAAAATTTTTGGGTTATGTACATAATATTTTTATTGTGTGAATATATGATTGAAAATGAGTACGTAGAAAAAATAATTTGAAAATGATGGTTGTCAAACTGGGACTTAGGTTATTGGACTTTTTTTTCCATTTATAAATTTAAGATATTATCGTAGCCTTATTTAGTGAGGATTAAAATTAAATTTTTAGCAAATTTTGATAAATGTTGATTAAATGTGTGGCTGAAAAGTCATGGGTCCCATAAAATATATGGTTGAAATTAATTGTTAAATTTAACTTAGATCAAATTTTTTATTTTGATTCCCACCAAATGGAGATTTAATTATAAGTATTTAATAATACGTATAAAAATCTCTCAACAAAACAGTTAAGCCGTGTTCCTTCTTTGAATTCTAATCACTATGATGCAAGTACATACGCAATTCTAATTTTCACATGTCGCAAATAAATTCAATTGTGCATTGATTTCTTTCTCACATTATACGAAATTAGTCTTTCAAAACTGTTGTAGAGATTTTAAGCAATTAGAATGGACTATAGATTATAAAGTCGCATTAGAAATAAATAAGAATGCCACATCATAATCTCATCTATAATATATTAAATATTACAACAAGCGATAATAATTTTTTAGACTATTTTAACCATACTACAATTCAATTATTTCAATAATACCTTACTTTTCATTTTTCAATATGTAATAAATATTACAAAATCATTTTTATGTATTAATTTCGTATTTTTAATTTTCAATTAATTAATATTCACATTAATTCAGACTCAATGAATCTTGATTTACATGAATTTATTTCTGTTCATGTATCTAGAAATTTTAATGGGTGTCGAAATTCATGTATTAACATTTAATCCTTAAGTATCAAATGTAGCATAAAAATGTTGTTCATTTGTAGTATTTCATCATTACAAACAAATTGAATTATAGAAGTTGAGTTTTGAGAGTATAATTTTCTTCTCTTAAATTCATATCATAAATTTTATTTTCTTTATTTCGTTCGAGACTCGTCAAATCTTCCCAATTATTTGATATCAAATTTTAGTTTTACAGCACTCATCAAAATATTTTAAAAAAACGTTCAATACATGTTGAACTTTGATTAATTTAATTAAATATCCTCGTGCTAATTAAGAAAACAAGTATTCTGCTGACAACCTATTCTCGTCCTAGAGCTTATTTGTGAGGGATTAAAATCAGATTAAAATTGAAAATATAGCCGTTATTGTTGACTTTTATTAGACGGGTGGGACCCAATAACGACCATATTTTCAATTTTAATTGGATTTTGAGCCCTCCCGAACGGGGCCTAATGTTTNTAAAATAAAAGAAAAAATAATGAATATTTTTTGGGAGTGGTAAAATTAGGACATGTTCGGTAGAAATTAAAATATGATTAAAATTGAAAAAATAGTCGTTATTGTTGACTTTTATTAGACGAGTGAGACTCAATAACGACCATATTTTCAATTTTAATTGAATTTTAATCCCTCCCGAACGGGCCCTAATAACATATTCTAGAAGTTGCTTTTGCATGTTTTTGACGAAAATTGTAAGCTTCTTTTTTATTTATTCAAAACAGAGAAAGTTGTGTACAAATGTTAGAGAGAGGGAAGGGGGGAGGGGGAACCCACATAAAATCAGCAGTCAAACTGTTGAATCTCCCTCCAAAAGATAAAAAATAGAGTTTAGTTGATTTTTCTAGTGGTCATTGAAGTTCAAGAAAATTTTTAAATTGGTCATTAAATATTTTTGTGAGATATTTAATCATTAAAGTTAATAATAATAATATATAATTGATCACCTTGTTAACCTTATTAACGTCAAATATGACATATTAGCTGTAAAAACATTTCATGGAATAATGATATTCATTATAACCGTCGTCCTCATCACAATTTTTTTACTATCTATTAATGATGGAAAATAAGGCTCGAGTTAAAATGAACTATTTCAGATTTCTGGGCTAATCGTGAGATTTTTTTCAATAAGAATCACTTTAATTTCATGAGAGCAGTGTAATTTCACGTCGTTGACACGTAGTTCATTAATCACATGTCAAAATGCCACTAAAGGAGAAACCAATTATGTAATATTATCTGACTTTAGTAATGAAATTATCACGAAAATATTTACTTGAATTTCAATAAATATTTGTGTCATTAATTAAAATATAAAATACAAAATCTATTTTGATTTTATGTATCTAGTTTTTAAAGGATAATTTTTTAGCGACTTACGTCCCTTTAAAATCCTTCAGTCGCACCATCACCAGATCACATTTGTCAAATCTCTCTCTAATTCTTAAGTTTATCTCACTAAAAGTCCTTGCTCTCTCTCTTATTAATCCCCAATGCCTCGAGTTGATGTTGAAGTTCTTGTAACAGCCTGTGAAGGAGTAGGCAATGACGGGAAAACCGTCTGTGAAACACTTGTAGACGGCGGACTCGACGGCTACCCACCAAAAAATGATAACTCTGAACCGGATTTCCCGCCGGAATCTTTCTGGCTATCGAAAGACGCAGAATATGACTGGTATGATCGTTACGCCTTTTATGAGCGCAAAGAATCCACCAAAGGCAATTCAAACTCAGCCAACTTGAACTCGAACATAAACCCCGGTTCAAACTCCAACTCTCAGCGGTTTACTGTTAACTTGAAGTCCAAGGCCTCTATAATTGGACTTCCAAAAACCCAAAAAACTACATATGTTGATTCCCGAAGAAAGATTTGTAAACCGGCTAATATGAGGTTGTTTCCAAAACAACCCGAGTCAGTTGGAATGGCGATGGTATCCATGGCTGAACCATCGTCGCCGAAGGTTTCTTGCATGGGGAGAGTTAGATCAAAGCGTTGCCGGCACAGATCAAATTCATTGAAAAAGAAAGAGAAATCGGTCGAGAAACCAAGAATCGGTGGTGGAAAGCAAAAAAAGGGGTTTTACTCCATGGTAATAAGTATGTTCCGGTCCAGAAAGAATCCAAACAAACCGGTCAGATCCAGAAGTGGAAGAGTAGAGGAGGAGCCAACGGTGGTCGAGCCAATAAGGAAAAGTGTAAGTAATAGAGTGCACGAGATTCCAATTTCGGTCGATCCAGTTGTTGAGCCGCTCGGTTTGGGAGAGATGATGCGCTTTGCGTCCGGTCGGAGATCACAGTCTTGGTCTGCCGAAGATGTTAATCAGGGGAGTCGATTATGGGGTGCTTGAAAGTCATCCGTGGATGTTCACATTGCGGTTGGCTGATGATTTTCTTTTTCTTTTTCTTTTTGCCTTTTTAATTGTAGTTTCTTCATTTTGTTGATATTTGCCTACATTATGTAACTAACATGATGGAAATCAATGTTTTTTTGGTAATTTTGGACATAAGTACCAATGTTGATAACATCATCGTCGTCAACGCTCCATAGTAATTATCAACGTTAACATCATCATCGACACATAAGTTATTGGTATTATTAACAAACAAAATTGACAACGATTACCAATTGCAAAGTTATTCGGTGACGTCTTCAACAATCGTCAATGGTGTTATCGTTGCTGATCATGACAGAGAAGTTGTCGATATCACTCAACGATTAACATGATTAAGGTTTTTCAGTGGGTGGTTTTGTATTGAAAAAAAGCAATTTAATTAGAGGTTGTTTTCAATAAGGTTTGAACTCAATTTCTAATACATAGTGGTTCGAGTTAAACAATTTTTCAGGTTAGATTGGGCATCTTTAAACAAAGTGAATTATATGTCACAAGTTAATTATTTACGTACTATTTTATTGTTGGATTAATATAATTTCATTTATTTATTACAAAAGCAGTGAGAACAGCATGCATGAATAATAGAAAGCTAGCCCACCAACTTTATTTTAGAGTACTTATCTTAAATAGTATACTGAATCATTATGGTAAGAAAATGTAAATTTAAGTAATAAGTAACGTGTTTAAATTGTTGTTTTAACTTTGAATTAAAATCTTAACATATCCTAAGTTTCTTCCTCGAATCATTATTTCAATGAAATTCCATTATCCCAATACGTTATGTCGTTGACGTTTTGGTATACCTACATCCGTATCGAAATGGAATATTGTAACTAATGATAGTCTTTTTGACAGTGTTATTCGGAGATAGTATTGTTATGCATACGTTAATCACGTTTATCGGATGGGGGGAGCCCCCAGCCTCCCCCAACTAAATTTTTTTTAGTTAGAAAAAAAAAATCATGTGTAATTTTATTATTTTTTACGTATTAGTCCGACCTGTAATCCGGTCATGAATCCGTCCCTATATCTATCGTGTTAGCGAAATATTTAGTTGCATTTTTTAAGAATGAAAATTAAATTTTGCATGTTCAAATCAATTTTCATGTCATCATCCGTTCAGTTCAATATATGGTAGGTTCGTGATCGCTATTTCAACTAGATTCTGATGATTCTAACGACTCAATCATATTTAAGAATTGAACCATCTATTTCCTCATGAATATCCGAAAGCATTCTCAGTATAATTTTGTTTTGGATAGAAAGACATCACTTACGGCATGAGATCGTAACTCATAATTGTCATTGGCAAACCCTCAATGCTCAATCTATAATAAGCAAAAGGAGCATTTTCATCTTTATTTTAGCACACACTACTAAACCCGTACTGTCCGTACGAGTCTCAATCAGGCTTGTAATCGTGCTCGTTCCCTTTGTTGGAGGATCCTCTTGGTCACCTATACAGTTTTCTAAACATATATAAACAATTTAAATTATAATTATAAATGAATAAAAAATAAATGATAGACAAATGTGAGGTACTCATGAATTCCTTGAAAAAATGTTTTAATAAAATGTGACTTGCATATTCATAAAGTT